GTAACTGCATGAAAACGCGATGCCAATGTTGTACACGCAATATATGCTTCAGCTTTTCCCCATTGCGCTGCTTCATGTGGCGATGACAGGGAGAGATGCAGAACTGGTGCGTGACTGTGGGTCCATTCGTTGTGGCCAAGCAACATAATTGGCATCCTACCGTTAGCCACCAACGCATCTTTTCATAACAAGTCTCCAACTCCCTGCCTTCACTGTCAGTGGATTTAAATTACATGGTTCCTCATGCACCATATGCAGTGCATTTCTTTCTCCTGTTTCTCACCCACTGCTTATCAAAATCAATACCTAATGCAAATAGATGACAGAAAGCAGCATGTGTTGGGAAAAGGATGGGAAAGATGTTATCAGTGGAAGCTAGAAATGCCAGTTTTGTAGCTTATTCATAAAGTTTAATGTTCAATGTCTCTTAAATGGTAGCACTTTTGTTTGTTGTAATTTAACAACTGCACATGTATCTATTTCCACTATTGCTTTGCATGTATGATATCACATTTATTCTACTGCACCTAAATGGATATTAGACAAATAGACTCATTAAAAACACATATGTCCTCGGCTGCTGGCCTGATAGCATCAACACATCAACATCACTGGAGGTGGAAACCGACAGGTTTCTTGCACATGTAGCCACTTTTAGGACTCAAATTTCCTTAACTGACAGTGCATGAACTTTTTAAGACCAAGTTCAAAATAGGACCACTATAAAAGACAAATCTGAAAATTGGGAAGTGCGTCATTCACAGGTAAAAACACTCTTTTCTACCAATTTGCAGGCTTGTCTTGTATTTCCAGTACAAATCATTGCAATAAACATCAAAGACTTATTCAACATAAGAACACTGCACTGTGTCTTTCTCAACACACAGATTATGACTTGCCCCACACACTTTGAAACCCCTTCTCCCCATGCAGCGCAGAGATGTTCAGGGCAAAGCAATCCTTGTGTTCATTGTAGCAACATGAAGATGCCACAGAGCCCTCCTGAATACAGGAATTATGAGTTGTGGCTTGCTTTAAAAGCTTTGTCTCCAGCTGAGGATCTGTGGTTTGAGCAATCCCCTCTGTATTCCAGGCACAATTTAGAATTTGATGCTTTTATGGGGTCTGATGGTGACATAGGAGGCCGTTGTAGCCGGTCCCTAAATGGCTCCCTGAGATGCAATGGCAAGAATGATGACTATGTCCCCTGTTGGTGTCTGTGAGGCATGATTCAGGCAGTTATACGGGGATAGGGAGTAGAAAAGGAGGAAAGTGTTTTGGAGGTCTGCAGATGGTACATCTGAGGCTGCTATTTGTTCTGTTATTGAACCTAATAGTGCCAAACTGAACTGTGCTGTCTCACATCCCAGTTCCAGTACAGTTGGTTGTTCAGAGTTAGAACAAACAGCAGGGTTGAGCTGGATCTGGAACAAGCAGAGCTGGTCAGAACTCGCTCATTATCTGTGGAATCCAGTTTCCTTCAAAGCAGAATGCACCAGAATGGCTCCTTATCCTGGCTGCAGTTCCCAGTGCTTGTTATGCCCTTTTGTAAGCTGCATTTGCTCTGATAAAGTCTCATTTGAATTTATTGTGAAACACAGCATCTTCAGAGTGTTTAGTGGGGGACATACAAAAACAAGACAAGGATTTTTCAAATGCAGACTATGTTGATGACATGCCTTCATGCACAGCACTTGACCCTGCTGAGTACAGCGTAACAGGACACCACCTATGGCTTTCTGTTATTGACCTCAGGAGACACTCCATACCCTTCGACACATATCCTCCAGGGGGTTCAACACACACACACACACACACACACAAGTAGACCATGTAGCTGATGCCTACCCAAGTGAAATTGTCTGTATGTTGCTGCACAGTGCATTATAATCTATAGATATAGAATACAAACAGATTACCCATAGCTTAGTGCTGATAAATGTGGGCAGAATAGTGTCTCTGTGTGCAAGTCCGCTTATATCCACTTTTTGCTCATGACTCAATAACATGCAGAATCCCCCAGCAGTAGTGCTAGTGGTGGCAGCTTTGTCTGGGAAGGGGGCGAACATAAATGTGGAGGAAGTTGCCAAGCACACACATTGTCCCCACTGAGGGGTTTCACATTTCATAGTCCAGTGGGCTCAAACCCCTCCAGGACTGGCGAACACACATAGGCAGTCAAAAATGAAGAGTGCAGAGACCGGTGTCCTGAGGAACAGGAGGAGGAAGATGTAGAGATGCAGATAGATGGAGTTATTTT